ATGGAACCAATTAACATCGTTAAGCGAGGCACCACTGTATATGCTAATATATATATATTCTAGACTCTTTTTCATCTCTTTTTTTTCCTCATCAGGAAGTGTTACAAAGGCAGCAAGTCCTGGTGATGTCTTATATTGCATTCTTCCTCTTTTTCTCCCCTGTGGTAAAGAATCAGGGCAAAAGGAGTCACCATTATCAGGAGCAAGGGGGCTGCTTTGGTTCCTTTCATCCTCTTTCTTTACTAGAGAGAGAAAGAGGGGGATGGCCATCTGAGCCCCACTGCATTTTCAAAGGCATTGCAGGTGAGGGGATTGCTTTTCCCCAATATGGTATGGGGCACTATGTTTTGCAAGAGTTTTCGCAAGACTATGTTTTCGATTTCTGTGGAACGAATTAAAATTGTCTTGCGAGGCACCGCTGTATATGAAAATGTTAGTTACAGAGAGGGTGGTCAAGTTGCGGACAATCTCTTCCCTTTCATTGTGGTTTTTTTGTCAATATGGTATGATGGAGGATTGAATGATATCCATAATGGCATAAGTGGAAATCATAATGAAGATGAATTACCAACCTCTGAATTTATTTTCAGTTCTGCTTCCCAGCATTGGTCTACCTTAATTGTTGGGTTACAACATCAAATTTGGGTTCTTTTCTTAGCTTCAGCTGGTAGAAAGGATTCTAGATACTTTATCTCCAAAAGGCACAAGAATAGCAATCTGTGGCTTTCTTAATGTGGCAGTATGATTACCATAACATACAATCATGGCCAAAAATATTGGCACCCTTGCAATTCTGTTAGAAAATGCAACCCTTCTCTCAGAAAATTGTTGTAGTTGCAAATGTTTTGGTACTCACATGTTCATTTCTTTGGTTTGTGTTGGAACAACACAAAAAACGGAGAAGAAAAGTCAAATCTAATATAATCCCACACAGAAACCCAAAAATGCACTGGTCAAAACTATTGGCTCCCTGTCTAAATAGTAAGAAATAATTGCTTTTCAAGCATGTGATACTCCTTTAATTTGTATTTAGACACACCTGTCTCAAGTAAGAGGTGTGAGCAATATAGTAATCACACTTGCAACCAGTTAAGATGGATAAATGTTGACTCAGCCTTTTCATTGTGTGTGATACTGAGCATGAAGAAAAGAATGAAGTGTAAAGTGTAAATGTCTGTGGATTTGAGAGAAAAAACTGTGGAAAAACATTGACAGTCTCAAGGCTACAAGTCCATCTCCAGAAATCTTAATGTTCCTGTGTCCACTGTGCGCAAAAGAGGTTTATAGCTCATGACACTGTAGCTAATCTCCCTGGACGGGAATGGAAGAGCAAAATTACTGAAAAATTACAACAAAGGGTTGTTCGAATGGTGGATGGAAAACACAGATTAACTTCCAAACAAATCCAAGCTGATCTGCAGACACAGGGTGCAACAGTGTCAGCTTGCACTATCCGTCACCATTTGAATGAAAAGGGACACTATGGAAGGAGACCCAGGAGGACACCACTGCTGAAACAAAGCCATAAACAAGCAAGACTGGAGTATGCCAAAACTCATGTGACAAAACCACAATCCTTCTGGGAGAACATACTGTGGAGAGATGAGACAAAAGCAGAGCTTTTTGGTAAAGGACATCATGGCACTGTTGACAGAAAAAGAAATGAGGCATTCAAAGAAAAGAACACAGTCCCTACAGTCAAACACGGTGGAGCTTCAAAGTTGTTTTGAGATTCCTTTGCTGCTTCTGACACTGGATGCCTTGACTGTGTGAATGGTATCATGAAATCTGATGATTTCCAAACAATTTTGGGGTTCAACGTAGTGGCCAGTGCCAGAAAGCTGCGTCTCCAACAGAGGTCATGGGTCTTCCAGCAGGACAATGACCCGAAACACACTTCCAAAAGCACTCAGAAATGGTTACAAACAAAGCGCTGGAGAGTTCTGAAATGGCCAGCAATGAGTCCAGATCTCAATCCTATAGAACACCTGTGGAGAGATCTCAAAACAGCAGTTGGGAGAAGGCACCCTTCAAATCTGAAGGCCCTGGAGCAGTTTGCAAAAGAAGAGTGGTCCAAAATTCCAGTAGAGAGGTGTAAGAAACTCATTCATGGTTACAGCAAGCGATTGATTTCAGTTATTTTTTCCAAAGGGGGTGCTACCAAATATTAAGTTAAGGGTGCCAATAATTTTGGCCAGCACATTTTTGGATTTCTGTGTGGGATTATATCAGATTTGACTTTTCTTCTCTGTTTTTTTGTGTTGTTCCTAACACAAACCAAAGAAAAGAACATCTGAATACCAAAACATTTGCAACTGCAACAATTTTCTGAGAGAAGGGTTGCATTTTCTGACAGAATTGCAAGGGTGCCAGTATTTTTGGCCATGACTGTACCTTGCACAGGGCAGCTTTGTAAGTTACAAAAGGACTGCATCTAATTTAGGAGAAGTATGTTATGGAAATGGTATTAATTGGAAATAATGTCAGTGTGTTAAATAGCTATGATTATGGCTTGCCAGTTGAAAACAAACAGTCACTCCTCTGAGACAGAGAGGGAGCGAGAGGGGTTTCAATTAAACATTATGAAAAATATATTTACACAAGGCAGCTTTGCAAGTTACAAAAGGACTGCATCTAATTTAGGAGAAGTATGTTATGGAAATGGTATTAATTGGAAATAATGTCAGTGTGTTAAATAGCTATGATTATGGCTTGCCAGTTGAAAACAAACAGTCACTCCTCTGAGACAGAGAGGGAGCGAGAGGGGTTTCAATTAAACATTATGAAAAATATATTTAACTTAAGAACTGTTTAACTATGGAATGAACTACCTCACAAAGGTGGTCGTCCATCCATTAGGAATGCTTTAGCTGTGCATTTCCTACATTGACAGGGCATTGGAGAAGATAAACCTTGTGATAACTTTCAGATCTGCAATCCAACTCTATGAACATGTATGTAGCTCATCTCTAAGGGAAGGCCATTAGCACTCAACTGCATGATTACTGTATATACAGTATATTAACTACATGATTCCTTTGTTAGATTAATTACTGTCACATGGGGCAGTTGTATTATTATAATGCAACATGAGTGAGGAAAAGCTTATCTCTTCCATCCCCAGCTGCTTTCCAACCAAGAATTGCACCTCCAAGCTACCAGTGGCTGCCTTGGGGAAAGAGTTTCCGTTGAGTTCATCTTCAGTGTAATCTGTAGTTTGACTCTTAAACGTTTGGTCGTAAGTGTCCTTCCCAAATTTCCTAGAAGAATATAATAGAAATATTTAAGTTTCAAGGCACTTGCAGAGTAATATGAAACAACACAACCTAGGATTGGAATAGAGTTTTACTGTATGGGATCCTGATATAATTCCTGATCGTAAGAGTTTAGGCAGCTGTTTCAGATCCGGTTATGATTTTGCTGTTGCTCCTAAACATTAACATTGGTGTGTTGTGTGTGAGGCATATTAACTACATGATTAATTGAAATACTGACATTCTTTTGTTGTTACAGTAATTCAACAAGAGACAGCAAGGAACTAAAAGTTGTTGAGAACAGCGATGGCTTATGTTTTAATGAAGAAGCAACCTATCCTCAGAAAGTAGTGTTGGGTCAAAATGGAAACTTGGCTTGTCCTGATCTCAATGATTTTGAAGATGAAAACACAGAATTTGATTTGCAGTGGTACAAGGTAGATGTGTGAGTGTGTCTATAATGACCATTGATATCTTGCTTTCTTGTAGAACAATGGTTCCCAACCTTGGACTTCCAGATGTTCTTGGACTACAACTTTCAGAAATCCTGGCCAGAATAGCTATAGCTTGTGGGAGTTTTAGTCCAGGAACATCTGGGGACCGAAGGTTAGGAACCACTGTGTAGAATAGTAGTCATAACAGGAGAAAGATGATGATACCTTTGGATGAAATGTCTGTAGAACCTCTAACATGTGCAGCAGGACCTCCATATCTGCGGGATCAGTATCTATGGTTTCACTTATACACACTTTGAAAATATTTAAAATATTAAAAGAAAAATTCAGAAAAAATATTTTCACATGTATTACCAGAATTGGCCCCTAGAGAGAGAGAGAGACAGAGATTGTATAACAAATTTCCTTTGTTGAAGAGCATCATAGCATGATCTCTTTTGCCCTCTAGTAGCCAGTTCTGATAATTATGCTAAGATTAAGATAATTATGATAAGATTATGCTATTTATAGCATTATCTGTGGCTTTCAGCATGGCGGGGGAGTTTGGAACCAATCCCCCATGGTTAATGGGGGTATTACTGCATTACACCAGTGGTCCCCAACCTTGGGCCGGGGGGGTTGGAACCAATCCCCCATGGCTAATTACTGTATTACATTATACCTTGAACTGTTGTACAATGTATATGTGCTGCAATCAGTTACTATAATCATAAATTATTTGTCTTTTTTGTGTATGACTAAAGTATGTAGATGACATTAGAAACAAAACAGTATTTGTAAAAAGCAAATTTGCTTTAAAAACAAAAAAATGTGGAACATGAATTGCCGTATGGGTTTCAATTATTATGGATTGCGTTGATACTCCATGTGCTTTTGCTTTTATGTGCAACTTCTTTCCACACTCTATCGAGGAACCAGGTTTGTTGCTTGCAACTTTCACAAAATTTGTTTATGTTTCAGGATTGCAGTCTTAAATTGTTGGACGATAAGCGATTTCAAGCTTTGGGACATAGTCTCTTTATTAATAACCCGTCTAAGAAAGATGAAGGAATGTATATATGCCAGGCAAAATATACCTACATGGGAAAACAGTATAATGTTTCACGGGCCATTAATCTGACAATTTTGGGTATGTGTGTTATTTTACTTCTTATTTTTGTCTTTGGTGTGTACCTAAAAACACTGGAAAGGGTTGCCATAAATCAAAATTGACTTGATGGCATGCTATTGTTAATTATTATTCAATAGTTCCTACAAATTTTTGTCTCTGAATAACAATGTGTGATCTTTTTAGTTGTTGTTCTCTGATGCCCATGCAGCTTCTGGAGCAGTGGAAAATTCAAAAGCAATATGTCTCTGACTGTTCACAGAACGTATGTTAGATCAGATAGACATGTCTGTGTATGCCCAGTTGCAAAATACTTTTCTTTTGGTTGGAAGCCATGAGAATTAGTATTGCATTGTGTTGCATAACTATATAAAACATATGTATCAGTTGAATCTAACTTTATTTGGAAGTACCCTGTTTTCCCGAAAATAAGACCTAACCTGAAAATAAGCCCTGGTATGATTTTTCATGATGCTTGCAATATAAGCCCTACCCCTAAAATAAGCCCCACTTAAGTGAAACCCTGCCTTCCACCATTGTGCAGCAACCAGAAGATGACATGACTGTGTTTGGATAAATGTAGATTATTGTATATGAAAAAAATAAAACATCCTCTGAAAATAAGTCCTAATGTGTTTTCTGGAAAAAAATTACTATAAAATCATGTCTTATTTTCAGGGAAACATGGTATTAGTGTGCACATTTATACAGTATTATGAACACAGATGGACATGAACCAGAAAAATGGCGAACCACAAAATTTCTGAACTTTTTCACAAACTGAACCACAAACCAGTTTTTATTTTAAAAAGTTCATGTCTGGGAGGAGGGAAAACTAAACCCTCCACCCACCCACCTGCCCCATCCCCACTGCTCCTGTTGAAACCCTACCTTGTGCTACAACCTTCTCCTCTTCCTCTTCTGCCCAGTATTCCCTCTAATGTTCTGGATCACTGGGTGGAGCCCCACCGTGCGCATGGGATTCCAGCCACAACCAGAAGCAAATGGGTGTCCTTGATCTAGTGCTGTGAGGCTGTGCAGCCACATGGCTTAGAGGTAATGTTGCCTCCCCCACTGCCCTTTTCATAGAAAACGGTCTGGCTTCCCTTCCAGGAGTTTGGCCTGCTGTCCCTGTGTGTGGCACACCTATCAGCTGACAGGTGTGCATATGGGCAGAGACAGCGGCCTGGCTGCCATGAGCCAGACCTGCTATCTCTGCACATGTGCATGCTCTGTGTATGCATCAGGAAGATCAGCCCCAGTGCATGCACAGAAGGCAGTGCCTGGGCTCCTGGAAGGCTGCACTGCCACCACCGGGATGACGCTGGAAGAGGAGGAGGAGGAGGCAGGACCAGGTAGGACTTGGGGGCAGTGGAAAGGGTATGGGAGCAAGTTGTGGGGGCGAGGGGGGAGAAAATGGGCAAAACCAAACCACTGAACCGAAAATCGCTTTAAAAGTTTGGTGGTTTGTTTCATTTTGGTTTGTCGGTTTCGACGAGCCTGAACCAACCTGATCCAACGAACGAGCAATTTTTCAATGAACTTCCTGGTTTGTTTTTTGGTTTGTGCCCATCTCTATTTATGAATACTAACGTCTGGTCCCAGAACTGGAAACATTTTGTTTTGAGGTTATCAGTAAATGCTGTACAGTAGTTCTGTCTCAATATGCATCATAAACTAATGTTGTCCACAGTTAAAAAGGAAATGTTCAGGAAGTTTAAAGAAGTTAAAATTGTAGCAATGTAACATAATTGTTTCTTTCACATTTTCTTTGTTAGATCCTCCACCAAAAGTACCAGTAGAGATCATTTATCCCAATAATAATTCAATTGAAATAAAACTTGGTAAGCAACTATTCAATTTTATTTCAAAACTTTTTAAAATTTATGATCCTGATAAATTCTAAAACTTTATTTGTATTTATTTGCAACCATTTTTTCTTCTGTGTAGGATCCAGTGTTATCATTGAATGTAATGCCTCAAGAGGTTTTTTGAGAGTGTCTTTATTCTGGGATTTTGGTGATGAAGAACCTGAGGATTTTAAAAGCACACACATAAAATATAGGTCGGTATTACATAAAAATTCCATTGGTACTTGCATGAGCTCTTTTGCTGGTTATGTTCTTTGACAAGACACTGGAATAATTATAAATTAGATTAACATATAATTGTTGAAAGGTCTCATTCAGATGCAGTAGTTTGTTCATTTAGTAATCTGGTAGGAGGCATGCAGGAATTTAAAATGTATTTCTTTTTTTTCCTTTTGTATATCTTTTGTTAAAATGTATCTATGTGAGTTGATTGCTTAAATCCAGTAGCAGGGCTTAACACTACATGATGTTTTTTCTTTTTGTAAATTAGAAATTTCTGACCATTTTTCAGAATTAGACTCTATGGTTTTCCAGTGATGAAGGGGTTGCCAAGAGAGCCTTGGGACCTTTGGGGGTGGATGGGGAGATGGAATTTTTTTCCATTAAAACAGCAACGTTAATATGTATCTATGTGAGTTGATTGCTTAAATCCAGTAGCAGGGCTTAACACTACATGATGTTTTTTCTTTTTGTAAATTAGAAATTTCTGACCAATTTTCAGAATTAGACTCTATGGTTTTCCAGTGATGAAGGGGTTGCCAAGAGAGCCTTGGGACCTTTGGGGGTGGATGGGGATTTTTTTTCATTAAAACAACAACAACACAACTGATTGTGTCATCAACAGTGTATATTCCACTACTGGATTTCTATGAATTTATTTATCCACAGTATCTGGGTGTTGGTGAGAATCTGCTCTGAAGTTCCATGTATCACCTTAAGATGGAGTTGTCTTTGGCTCTAGTGATGGCAGAAAGACTCATTAGAACTAAGCTAGGATGCAGTGTGTTTTAGAACTCAGTGGTAGCGTATATGCTTTACATGTGAAAGTTCCCTAGTTCAATCCCTGGCATTTGTTGGGAAGACTGGGAAAGATCTGAATGCTGGAGAGGTAGTGCTAGTGACTATTTACAATACTGAGCTAAATGGAATGGGCTAAATGGGAAGAGACTATGAGGTTGTGTCTTATGTATCTGTAGTTGCAGCACAATAGCACTTGAACTGGTGCAGTCATCCAATAGTCCTGTATAGACATGGGGATGAATAAAATAATGGATTGTGATATTTGTGAGAAATCACTGATTTGTTAAATATTTGTCCATTCATATTTGTGGGTTCCAGAGACCCCCACAAATATGAAGGGGTGAATATTTCCCCATTTTTATTCCTCTCCCATAGGAAGAGAGGGAAGGCTAGCCTTCCCTCACTTTCTGTGGCTTTCCCATTCTGCCTACCCGCCCACCAATCAGCTGATTGGCAAGCTGATAGGCAGCCACCCACCCCACAGTCTATCCCCCACACCCTTCCTATCCGTGCCTTATCTGCTGCCCGTGCCATGGTGATTATGGTGGGGGGCGTCAGCGTGGGGGTTAGGTTTTCTTTTTAGTAACCCCCACGCATTGACAAATACTGTAAATTAATGCTTTGTTGGTTCATGGGGGGAGCTTCATGCTTCATCAGCTTTGACGAATCACGAAGCAGGATAACTCGCCAAAATGGTGAGTCCCCATCTCTAGTCCTGTAGCATGCATTCCTCCTCCTCCTATTACTAGATTGAAGGTGGCTGGGACATACTTGTCATAGTGGATCTAAACATCTGAAATATGTCCAGCGAAGAGTATTTTCCATGCTAAAAATACCTGTTTCTTATCCTATCTCACATGCATTCTCTCCCTCTCTCTCTCTTAACACACATGCACATGCGTATGCACACACACACCCTGAATCTATATAGTCACCCAACCTTTCATTTGTGCCACCCTTTGTAAGAATGTCAGGTAAACTGATAAAATACAAACAAACAAATATGTAATAACACCAATAAATGATGAAACAGTCAATTAACAATAAAACAGAAGCACCCAACCTCTTGTAAGCATCTGGATAAAACTAGTCAGATGTGAAAAGGCCAATAAAGTTGGCACCAGACATAGATTTTTCTGGAGCACTGTGATTAAGTTGTCTCTGTCCAGGAATAGTCATAGCTGGCATATTAACCAAAGCTAGGCAAAGGCACTCCCCCTCCCACGACTGAGTCCATTTGGGGTTCCAGTGGCAAGGCTTGATCAAATAATAGCCCCATATTGCAAACATGCTCTCTCAGGGGCAGTGTGTCATAGTCAGAGCAGGGTGTCTAAGCATTTCCCATATGTGAGAACCAGCCACTGCAGAGTTTCGAATTTATCCGGGTTTACTCTGACATCAGTCTCATCAGTGGGGCTTGGCAGCAATTCAGCATCTGTGCAAACTCAGATAACTCTGATAACAAAGACAAACAGAACTGGTATTAGTTGTGCACTACTGCAATCTCATCCGACATCTTCTGATGTCCTCTTCCAGCAGCTTAATCTGAGTGGTAAATAATCAACCAAGTTTAATATTGATAGTGTTCAAGCAGTTATAGCATCCAGTGACCAAACAGGAATGTCAGAGCATTCCTGATATATTTGTATTGTCTGCTTCAGGATGAGCAATTGTGGCCCTCCAGATCTTGTTGGGCTGCAACTCGCATCATCCCTCACATTGGCGAAACTGGCTAAGATTGAAGGGAATTATAGTCCAGCATGTTGGTGTGGGGCCAATTCCAAAGGTTTTATATGGTGTATTGTCTCTCCTGAAGCTTGGAGTCAGATTTGGATAATGAAGCTTCCAAGAGCACTCTGTTAGGGAAAACAAACCTTGGAGCCCAAGTTACACAGAGTCTCTTATCTGGTAGCTTCAAATCCTTCCTTAATAAGCGGAGTAAAGACGTGGACGTATGAGAAAACCGCAGAGAGAGAGTTCTAATAAGACTTATAGCATTATATATTAGACTTGGTCAGACATATATACATGGTAATATATATATTGGCATAGATCTCTCAGAGTAACACAACATTCACATTCAAGTAAAGTAATGACCACCAGACTCACAACTGAGTGGCAAAGTACTGTTCTCACTTAACTTGCTTAAATAGTGAGAGCAGCCTATCACTGCAGACATAGCAGCTGAATGCGTGGTTGACAAGCATTACCTAAGCTTGTCCCATCTGTATGCTATCAGTCATCCATTGACTTGATGCTACAGGCATGACTTTGCATTTTCACTACAGTACTAAATTTAACCTCTTGTTCACTTAAAGGAACAAATCCTGACACAACAACATCCAGAGGCACATGTTTTCTGCCTCTGATCTAAACAGTCAGTTCTTCCTTTTGACAGTCCTCACAAAAGATATAAAGAATGAGAATAAGGAGACTCAAGATAGGTATCAGAAATTCCATTTGGAAGGAGCCAGACCAAATAAGGTCACTTGCTCCGATATGCCATTTGCATGTGAAGATTGCACCAAATGGCATATCACGTCTTCATCTGACCCTAAGCAATCCTATTTAGCCTGCGCTGGGCCACTCCGAAAGAGCCCCTCTGACTGCACCCTTACTTGTAACAAGCACATATTGTAAGGAAATGCTAATGAATATCCTTGGTCCTTGGAAATGACCCCAGTGTTCAAGGAATTAAATCCAGCAAATATTTGGTGGGCTCTGAATAGGGAGAATAATAGTAATAGCAATAGTAAGCAGCAACAGCAGCAGCAATATGCTACCAAGTTGATTCCAACTAATGGCCACTCTATCCGAGGTTTTCTAGTTAACTGCTCCCTTCTTCTGGGTCCTGTACAGCTTGCACAAGGCCATACAGACTAGCAGTCCTAGGAGTCACATGAGGGAACTGAACTCACAACTTCCTGGTGCCTGACTGACTAATATATATCCTGATATGTTTATTGCAGAAGAGGATGTCTTCCCTTTTTTGGCAGCATCCATGCCTGAGCCTCCATTCAAGGAGGATGAGGATGTTACACTCTGTCATGTTGCATCCAATTTATGGTGACCCTATGAATGAGCAATCTCCAAACTGTACTGAAATACTGGCCAAAATTATGCTGGAGATGTATGTGTGCATGAAAGGAAACATAGAAATCGCTGCAGCTTAAGTGGTTAGGGGTTGGTCACACCGCTGGTGCCTGCCACCTTGCCGGTGAGCTGCAATAAGTTGGGGCAGCTTCAGTCATTCTTCTTGCACAAATATATTCTGCAGGATTTTGGCTAATGAATTCTGGTTTTAGCTAAGTTCTATCATAATTAATTATTTCAATGTTGTCAGCTGTACTAGCAGAAGGTGGCAGAATTCCACAAAAATTAATTTATGCTATAAATATATGCAACATTTTTTTCTCTTTTTAAAATGAATGACAATAGTGAACCACTTCTCGGAAAAATGATATGGAGATCAAAGTTTAATATTTCTAATGTGAAGTATAAGGACTACAGAAAATACTTCTGCGCTGTATCATCTTTTGGCCTGAAGGAACAAGTGGTGTATGTCCAGCTGCAGCCCCCAGGTAAGCTGTTCATAGATTGCTAGTAGGGTGCGTTCTGGAAGTCTTTGGTACACAATATTTCATTGTACTCTTACACAGAGTTAATATAAGGTGTTTTGAAACAAAACAAGCAATGGAGGCTTATGATCACTTCTATTTTTGGAAATGCTGTTAAATTGGGAGTAAACACTATCGGTAGCAGAGAAAGTGTGGCAGGTAAAGATTTGTACCTGCTTGTCCTGACAGGGGGCATTTTTGACAGAGCAGGAAAGGTGGATAGATAAGGCTGGATTTATAGGTTGCCCATAGTCTGAGCAGAGTGGTGTACCTAAACCTGAAATTTAGGGGTAAAGTGCTGTGCCACTTGGAGCAAAAGCTGCCCCTGATTGGATGCTATTGCTGGGAAGTTCCTGCAATGGGATTGAACTGGTGATTTCTCTCAGCGGCCTTTCCTTTTATGGGATGGAACTCCCTAGAAATGCTTGGGTCAAAGAAGGGGAAATACTACTTTTTAGACAACAACTTCCAGATCCCTTCAAATAACATGTCCGGGAGAAATTTGCTACTCAGAATTTTGCATTCCAGCTCTCAGAATTCTCCATTCTGGAGGTTCCACCTGACAGACCGACACATAGATACACCCAAGTGTGACTCCCCTGGAGAAAGGCCTAACGGGAAGGCTTGATGGCCAAGCTCCCTGTTAAAAAAAGGAAGCTGTCCCAGTGCTTGCTTGGAGACTCCCAGTTCCAAGTTCTCATTGGTTAAATGATGTCTGCTCTTGAATTTGTTGCCTAACTCCCAGTTCAAGTTCTCATTGGTCAAATGATGTCTGCTCTTGAATTTGTTGCCTTCATCAGTTGTATAATCACTTTGAAATAGAAGATGTTGTTTTTAGAAGAGCTGAGCATCTATAGTCCACCCATTAGAATCTTTCTTGAAAGATCACAAAATGTTATGCAATCTTCGATCAATCAGTTACTTTAGTTACGTACTGTTTGTCCATAAAATGCTCCAAACATTTTGATGTGAAATTTGAGAAAATTAATGATACATTATGGGAATTTGTTCAGCCAAATAGTATCTAAAAGAAAACTGTGTGTTCATTTATTTATTTTTATTCTGCTTTTGTATACTAACCTCTTATTCAATCTATGGAAGTACAGTAAGATTATGTCTCATTCTCTTTTTCCTCTTTGTCAACACAGCTCCCAACTTTCAGGGTTATTTGATTGGAGGCCTTGCTTCACCGCTCTTTGTTATTCTGGCAGCTCTGTTTGCCTACAAGTTTTTCAAAGTTGACATTGTGCTCCGGTATCGGGAAAATTGTTACTCTCTTCATAAAGAAGGTAGGTTGGTGCTGACTTGGTGCCCTCTGTTGGTCAAAGTGAGTTAATGCTTTTTCTGGAGTCTAAAATTTACTATCCTATATTGCCTATGAGTGGATTTGCGACAGATTTGCTACCTACCAAAGATAACTGGGATTATTTGCTTGTTTTTCAGGTTAGAATACAGGAGATTCAGTATGGCTTACGTTTCTTCTGCACTTATACCTTATTTAAATATGTCATGATTTCTCGTTGGACCTTTGATTATAAAGTTTGCTAGAGGTTAGGGGACCTGTTAGTTTGGTTCAGCTACTATAAATAGAGTTCTGCTAAATGGAGAAGGATGAGGAGAAGCACAGCTGATTTGTTGCCATTTCTGTCACCCTTTGTGCATTGGTGGCACCTCCACCTGTAGGTTCCCTGTGTTATAAATCACAGGGATTGCTACATGAGATGTTCCTCAGTGCATGGCAAGTGATGACAATGTAAAAGGAAGAGTGACACTATTGTCAGTCTTGCTGCTTCCCCTTATTTATTTTGCTCAGAGCTTGGAAATAAATACTACTTTAGAATTAATATGTTAGCATTAAAGTGTACTCCTTTATCATTAAGTTGATTCTATTTTTTGGAGCACCACCAGGAAAAGTATCTCGGGTCATTGGTATACATTTTGTAGAGAGCCCATGTCACTTGACTTCCCCAGTGGGAAAAGCACCTGTGTAACTGGGAATTTATGGTGGCTTTTTATAGAGCAGGAACTGTCAACATTTGGACTCTTGGTAGTTGTAATAAATCATAACTCCCATAAACCCCGAGAAGTGCCATAGATTCTTTGCTGTATTAACAAAGACCTCTGGATATTACAATCCAAATACATTGACAGGGCCAAGGGTTAGTACAGGAAATATAGGTGTTTTCCCTTTGGAAAGGTCAAGTGACATGTGCTTCAGTGGAGAGCACATCAAACTAGTGCTTTAATTAATGTGTTTAGAACTTCACCTCTCTAGCAAGAGGAAGAGTTCTATAAATTGTTTTGTTTTGAAAAACTGGTTAGCACAAAGTCATAAATGAAAGACTTTTGCCCCCATTCTTTAGTTTCAGATGGGAAACTCTATGATGCATACGTGTTGTATCCCCAAAAAGGAACAGACTGTACATATTCTTCTGACATCTTTGTCTTGGATGTGCTGCCTGAAGTCTTAGAAAACCAGTGTGGCTATAAGCTGTTTATATTTGGAAGAGATGATTTCCCAGGGCAAGGTATGTATCTTATATTGCATCGTAAAGAGATATATTTGAAGACAAACCCTGAGCTAAACCATGTGACGTCACAACTTCATCTCCATGGCAGAGCACATGATTTGCATGCAGAGGACTGAGGTTCAGTCACAGGCATCTTGAATCTAAAAGAACCAGATAGCCCAGGGGTGGGGAACAGATGGTTCTCCATGTGTTGCTGGACCACCATTTCTCTCATCTTTAACCACTGGCTGTGCTGGCTAGAGTTAATAGGCATTGCGGTGCAAACATGGGAAGGGGGTTTTACATGTTTCCTACTGTGGGGAGTGAAAGAATCCTGTCTCTGCAGCTCCACTCATCAGCAGGACCAGTAACCCTCATTAGTGCATATGCACCAACACTGTCATCCACTCCAGAAGTGAAAGACAAATTCTACGACGATCTGGCAGCTACTATCAAAAAAGTCCCTGAAAGAGAGTCACTGTTCATTCTTGGAGACTTTAACGCTAGAGTTGGTGCTGATCATAATTCTTGGCCCACTTGTCTAGGCCGTTTTGGCATTGGAAAGATGAACGAAAATGGCCAACGCTTACTGGAGTTTTGCTGTTACTATGGTCTCTGTGTCAGCAACACATTCTTTAATACGAAGCTGCAACACAGAGTTTCCTGGAGACATCCAAGATCCAAGCATTGGCATCAGCTCGATTTGATCCTCACTAGACGTTCTAGCCTTCCTAGTGTTACGATCACACGCAGCTACCAGAGTGCTGATTGCGATACTGATCACTCCCTGGTGTGTAGTAGAGTAAAACTGCGAACAAAGAAATTGTATCACATGAAAAAGGAAGACCACGTATTGACATCAACAAGACTCGCGATCAAAGAAAAGTGAAGGAATTTGCCCAAGCACTCGAGGAAACCCTTCCAGGTCCAGCAAATGTAAATGCACCTGAACGATGGGAACACTTCAAGAACACTGTCTACAACACCGCCTTGTCCACCTTCGGCAAGAAGACCAGAAAGATGGCTGACTGGTCCGAAGCCCATTCGGAGGAGTTAATGCCAGCCATTGAGGATAAGAGAAGAGCTCTAGCAGCATACAAAGCCTGTCCTAGCGAGTACAACCTGCAAGCTCTGCGAGCCGCTCGTAGCCAAGTCCAACAGGCTGCCAGGAGATGCTCCAATGACTACTGGCTTCAGCTTTCCTCTCAGATACAGATAGCAGCGGACACAGGTAACATCAAAGGAATGTATGATGGTATCAAGCAGGCCTTAGGTCCATTACAGAAGAAATCTGCTCCCTTGAAGTCTACTACAGGTGTAATCATCCAGGACCGAGCACAGCAGATGGAACGCTGGGTGCAGCACTACTCCGAGCTATATTCCAGAAAGAATGTAGTAACCGAAGAAGCATTAAATAACATTGAGTGCCTGCCTGTCTTGGAAGAGCTGGACAGCGAACCAACCCTAGCAGAAATAAATGCGGCCTTGGATTCCCTCACCTCTGGCAAGGCACCTGGAAGGGACAACATCCCTGTTGAAGTGCTGAAATGCGGTAAGGAGATCATCATCACCGAACTGTATGAAATCTTTTGCCTCTGCTGGAGGGAAGGTGGAGTACCACAGGACATGAAGGATGCAAACATTGTCACGTTGTACAAGAACAAAGGTGACAGGGGTGACTGCAATAACTACCGTGGTATCTCTCTTCTTAGCGTTGTAGGGAAGCTGCTTGCCCGTGTTGTGCTGAAGAGGCTCCAGGTGCTTGCAGACAGAGTCTATCCGGAATCACAGTGTGGATTTCGAGCAAATAGATCCACCACTGACATGGTATTCTCCCTCCGACAGTTGCAGGAGAAATGCAGGGAACAACAACAGCCACTCTTAGTGGCCTTCATAGACCTTACAAAAGCATTTGACTTGGTTAGCAGGGATGGCCTTTTCAAAATACTTCCCAAGATTGGATGTCCACCTCGTCTCCTTAACATCATCAGGTCCTTCCACGATGGAATGAAAGGCACTGTAGTTTTTGACGGCTCAACATCAGATCCCTTTGACATCCGAAGCGGAGTGAAACAGGGCTGTGTCCTCGCACCAACACTTTTTGGGATCTTTTTTGCTGTCATGCTGAAGCATGCCTTTGGAACTGCAACAGAAGGTGTCTATCTCCGGACTAGATCAGATGGAAAGCTCTTTAATCTCTCTAGATTGAGAGCAAAGACCAAAGTCCAGCTGAAATGCATGAGGGACTTCCTCTTTGCAGACGATGCAGCCATTGTTGCCCACTCTGCTGAAGACCTCCAACAACTCATGAACCGTTTCAGCAAGGCCTGCCAAGACTTTGGACTAACAATCAGCCTGAAGAAAACACAAGTCATGGGCCAGGGTGTGGACTCACCTCCCTCTATTACCATCTCCACACAAGAATTGGAGGTTGTTCATGACTTTGTGTACCTTGGCTCAACCATCTCTGACACCCTCTCTCTAGATGTCGAGCTGGATAAACGCATTGGGAAAGCAGCCACCATGTTCTCTAGACTCACAAAGAGAGTATGGCTCAATAAGAAACTGACAACACATACCAAGATCCAGGTCTATAGAGCCTGTGTCCTGAGCACACTCCTGTACTGCAGCGAGTCCTGGACACTTTGTGCCCGGCAGGAGAGGAAGCTGAACACCTTCCATTCGAATCGGCCTCCTCAGCCACACTAGACGCTGCTCCAAGTCCTCCATACAGAGCACGATACCATAGTCTTTCGAGACTGAAGGATGCCTAACTAACAGTCCTAAATTAGTAAGTGATGATCTGCAGGCATGACTGCAAATTACTCTGCCATGCTGGTGCAACTAAATACAAATGGATTGCGTTTGGCCCAGTGCCTGGAAAAAGGACCACTTAATGAGTATGGGTGATACAAGCCTCGTGGTGCAGTGGTTAAACCGCTGTACTGCAGCCAAAACTGTGCTCATGACCTGAGGTTCAATCCCAGGTAGCGGCTCAAGGTTGACTCAGCCTTCTATCCTTCCGAGGTTGGTAAAATGAGTACCCAGCTTGCTGGGGGGGGGGGCAATGTGTAGCCTGTTAACTTGTCAACCGCCCAGAGAGTGCTTGAAGCACTATGGGGTGGTATATAAGCAGCACACTTTGCTTTGCTCTACTTTGTCTACAGCCTTGTAAAACTTATGGACGGTGCTCAGCTATGTACACTCACCTTAGAGATTTCAACATTTGTATTGATGTTCTCCCTAATCTTTGTGCATCTTGTCTCTCTCCCCCCCCCATCCCCACACACACCTCTGAAGGTCACTTTAAGGATCAAAGCCCCCCATGGACTTGCCTCAGGCACTCCCTTATCTTGCCTTTGCTACAAAATTAAAACTCTCTGCCCTCTCTTTTGTGGAATTTCCCATCTTGGGATTCCCCTCATGTGATTGTCACCTTTTCTTAACCTTCAACATTGCTATCCACCCTTCCCCTCTTTGCTCCTTCCCTTACCTGCATGCCACTTGATACAGTAGGATTCTCAGAAATTTTTGTCCTCGCCTCTTCTTTCCCCCACTTGATGTATTACAGCATCAAGATGGAAACATGAGAGGCCATGGTTAGCACAGTTGTCTGTTGTTAGTCAATCCAGGCTTTTAAATGTTGCACTAGTTTCCCTCTCACTGCTTTGCCATATAAACGTTGTCTTAGGCTCTCCAGTTTCCACCTTCAGTTCATCTGTATCCTTAACTTGTATAGCCTCTTGCAATAAAATCATTTCCCACTCTAATTTCTACTTTCAGAGTATAATTCTACTCCTTGTTTTGTTTAATGCCCTCACATTACTTCAGAGATTATTTAAAAATGTTTGCTCATTTTGTCCATTTTCATCTGGCATTTTCCTGGCTAAGCGATTCCAGAAATCTTTAATATTAAGCAATTTCAGGAACCTTTAACACTAGTCTGGTAGTTCCCTACTGTGGCTAGCTTCTCCTCTCCCTTCCCGCCCTCTGTCTCATATTCCTTCATCAGTGATTAAGATGACCCATCTTGATTTCTCCATTTCCTGTTCTCTGCTCCACATCTGTCTCTGCCTCCTGTATCTCCATCAACTCTTGATAAGTTGATTAAGCTAGTGACCTTTTCTAACCTCTCCAGAATTCCCCATGATCAGACCTCTACTAACCCTCATGTATTGTCCCATTACCACCAGATAATCAAATCACATCCTACCATCTGCTTTGTTTTTTTCCAAAATTGTGTTCATACATACTTTCTCAGTCTTAAAACAAGAGCAGCAACTTTACCACTCTTCCTGTAACTACTATCTGACTTTTCTTACAGTTTGCTTCTATGCCATGACTTCAGTCTTGTAGTTCATTTCTACACTATTGCCTTCATCCTTTGCATTCCACTGCAACTGGCTGTGCTTAAATCACTAATCCTTTTCAGATCATGATCCTTGAACTCTCTTATGTTTGGCTCCTTTTCATGCTCTTGGCCTTCACACAGCTATGTTCTTATCTGGTTCTTTCTTAACATATTCAGTATTTCTTCTGGGTGAAGCATTTTTTTTTTGCTTTCCCTCCTCCTTTTGAGATCTTTCTGTGTTCTGCATTTTCACTGGGCAAGTATTAGTCTCAAGTGAGAGATGAGTAGCCTTCCACTGTCCTTTGAGAAGCACCTTCCAGATAAGAATCCGGTAATTTTGCATGTTCCATCTGCCTTGGGGAATGAAAAATGCCCTTTACTGGGTGCTAACTGGGTTTCCTTGAGTTAGACACTACTGTGTGTAAGTGAAACAGCAGACTCCTCCAATCTGTTGCCCTCCAGGTATTCTGGACTACAACTCCCTTTAGTCTAAAGCACCAGCCATGGTAAACTGCCTTGGATCCTTTAGGAGAAAGTTGGCATGTACATACATACATACATACATACATACATACATACATACATACATACATACATACATACATACATACATACATACATACATAGTTGTTTTAAATTCCTGTAACAGTTGACACCTTTTCTGACCTCTACTAATGCTTCTTTGTTTCAACAGCTGTGGTCAATGTAGTTGAGGAGAATATAAAACGAAGCAGAAGACTGATCATTGTGTTGGTACCTAATTCATCCTGCTGCAGGCTGCAGTCCTCAACCTCAGTGCATGAAATTGCAGTCTACAGCGCTCTTATTCGATACGGAATTAAAGTTATACTGATTGAGCTAGATAAAATAAAAGATGATGACAGCTTGCCAGAATCTATCAGATACCTTAAACAAAAACATGGAGTGCTCACGTGGCAAGGAGACTTTTCAGTCAAATCTCAAATGGCAACAACAAGGTTTTGGAAAAATGTGCGGTACCAGATGCCAGCCAACCCTAATTCGCCTTCTTTGGATCTTCACCCATCGATGGTAACATCAAATTCGTATCATAGGTCAGAAGGATGACAACAAGGTCCCTCTTGCAATCTTCTTGAACCTTATTCCAGTGGATGGTATAAAGATCCATAAGATCCATATAAAGATAAAGAAATATATGGACGCACACATATACTGCCAGTGTGCATTATTAGGGACTGTTGAAAGATGAAAAGTTCAGCATACTTGGGATTTTCTGCCTCCCAAAGAAGATACACAGTCATGGACCCTGAAGTTTTGCTTTTGGATTTGTGAGCCAGTTGGGCAACAAGCAAAGTCATGTGAATGCATGAACAGAAGGACATTTTTAAAAATGGTTTATATATTCCCATTTTACCAATGAGGGATGTGAATATGAAGGAAAGGATGGGTATTCATCCCATATAAAGACTTTATATGTACATAATGCAGTTTTCATCTGAAACACTAGTGTTTGAATGAGACAGTTGCTAGTTGACTCATTTCTACTGGACTTGGCCTTCTAAAAATATAATTGGAGAGAGACGGGGGTGGGGGGAAGGAGAGGCTTGTTCACTGTTGGGTTTCCATAACCAATAGTGTTTGTTAGTTTTACAAAGAGTTTAAATAATCAATGTGGTCAAGAAGTAAAAACTTTCTTTGGGAGACATTTAACTCTCTCAAGGAAAGAGTGAGAGTCTCTTTTTCACCCATCTCTCTAGGGTTAGGGTTAACAGCTAACCATTTAAGCCAAGACTCTTCCAAGCCTTCCTGTTTAAGTGCTGTGCAGGTTCCTCTCATGTTGCCCTTGTGCAAGCCCCATGGTTTTGTGTAAGTCAAACAAGTGTGCTCCAAGTGGAGGTCTCCCTGCTCCCTCCTGGCCATATAAGCCAGATTCAAGCAAAGTAACAGGTTCAGACATTCCATGTGGGCCCACATGTGTTCAGTGCCTTCTGTTTTTGCAGATGATATTTCTCTCTCCTGCTTCTGAACTGGGGCAAAATGCATCACCATGTCCAGCAATAAACTGGAGCTAGGGGAAGAAATGCAATAAAGTTGCATATACTTATGCATTATTACTGTGGTATCTCCCAAGGAGAAAAAGTGAAAAAGAGTATTCACTGTATTTAAATAGACTGTCATGCCAGAAAGCAATTACAAAGAAAAAATATTTTATTTGGTTCATTTTGACTCCAAATTTTTTTCATCAGGTTTCATATTTTCGAAATACTTTGCAAGCTATGTTTGTTCTGCAGGATGGTTACCCAGATTTAAGTATTTAAATTTGCCCCAATATATGTAGGATCAGAAAGTCAGGAAGGTAACTCATCACTTTTGGCAGAAACTATGCGTTTTTCCTATTAATGAAATCACATCTGTATAATTATGCAACAGTTCCTGTAACTTCCAAAGTAAAAGCTATTTCTGTGAATTCATTTCATCTGTTTTCACTGCAGAACACTGGAGGTGTTGCAACATTCAGTGATTCAGGAGTCAAATATCTAAAGCATTTTGGATGGGGAGCATGTGACAACATTGGTGTTCAAGCTGTAGTAGCTTCTGGTTCATTTCTCACCCTTGAAGGGCTTAATATCAGGTTACTTAGACTGACTCCTCCTTCACAGTCCTGTCGATCCATATGAGCGAGACTTCTCAGCTATGGTGCAAAAGTCACAGAATTCTTTGCTTCGGGGATTTGTTCCTTCTGTAATGAGTTTCGGAAACCAAGCAAAAACACGTTTAATTGAGCTTGGTTAGCATTTAAAGTGTTTTCTTCTGGCTTTTTGCTTTCAGGTTTTCTCCAAGCAAAATTTAATTGAGCTTGGTTAGCATTTAAAGTGTTTTCTTCTGGCTTTTTGCTTTCAGGTTTTCTTTGTACACTGTTCCTTATCAGTTGTTATGCTGGCATGTTCAAATTTCATTGCTTAAAAGTGTTGTGATTTTTAACTTCTGTTGATGATCACCTCTTTTTCTTGTTAATCAGTGAAAAGGCAGGATGTAGATATTTTCCATTAGCTTTGTTGAGGGTAAACAGTGTGACACTTTCAAAAGGGTGGTGCCCAGCCTGAAGAAGTGGAATTCTTTTTACCCATGCAAGTTTGCAATTTGTGTGGTCTTTTAGTGGTTCAATAGGTATCGCCTTACTCCTGCATCTGTATAATTCTGAACCATGTGGCCTTTTCCTAAGTCTTGCCATGTAGTGACACTTTTACCACTGATCTAAAAGTTTCCCTTCTAGAACAAAGGAACTTCCAAGGGAAATGAGAGAGGGAGATAGAGAGAGCTTGACTGCCAAGTTACAATTAGGCAATACCTCTATATCACCAGAGTTTAATGTAGGAGTGATGGATGTTTACCACTGTCTGGATATTTCTGTTACCAGAAAATTGTGTGAATGACTGCCAGTGATATGATCATCACTGTCAAAAATTTATTTATTTAATTCTCCTGTGAGATCACTATCCACAGTTCTATCCCTTCTTATGTATATCTGAATTTTGACTAGCACACTGACCCTCTGATTGTCTGAGCTACAGTCTAAGAAATCTGGTTCTAAAATAAATTTGTCACTTTCCAAAGTGCTCTCTCTCTATAGTTGGTGGCAATGTAGTAGACACACATCTGGGTTTCCAAAAGAAAAAAAGAAAGAAAGAAAAAGAAAAACAGAAAAGCCTTTGCTAAAACTGAGGCATAAAGTCTTCTGAGTGAAGTTAGGAGTCACAAGCTAAGTGGGAAAATATTCTGTAATTGATTGACAAATGGAAAACTGAAGGCATGAACAAATGCCTTCATGTGTTTATTCCTATACCTTTAGGATTAAATCTCTTAAAATCTATGGATATTTTAAAGAAAAATGATTGATTAGTATGAATAGACATGTTTGGTTTTTTAAAAAAAAATCCATATGAGGGGATTTTTATGTGAGAAATGGAAAGATTTAAATATATGGGTAAAAACAGCTCGCTGCTATGTTTTTATTGTAACAAGTAATTTTGCTCTTAACATACAGTAAAAGTGAAGTCACACACACTGAAGCAAAAATTCCTGATGATGTGTACACTGATAGGCACCTGACTGGGTGGTCATTAATGAGGAAGGAGATCTTAGGAGCATGATAGCCTTCTGAATAGAGTATAGCTGTACTTGTGGAGCCAACTGTCTTGTTCCTTCTCTACTGTTGCTCCCCCACCATGCCATGCTACGCAGAAGTTGAGGAAACCCTGCAGGAGGAGGTGCGGCCTTGGGAAGGGAGACCCCCCCAAAAGTTTTGTAGAGGCACATTCTGTGAGCAGAATAAGATCTCAGCCAACTGTGGAGATCTCTTCCTTCCCCTACATTATCAGGAGCTTCCTGAGGATCTGGGATTCCTGGCCATACTCCAAAGTAGCATAGAGGGGGAGGGAAGGGTGCGGAAGTCTCTGTCCACCCATCCAGACACCTGTTACTAGACCTGGATGCAAACCAGTATCTTCATAAAGCTGTTTTACAACTCCACTTTGAATTCTGTAAAGAATTGTTGGGGAGGGTTAGAGAGATGATATAGAAGAGAGCAGTTAAAATGATTCCTATGAGAAATGGTTTAAGGACCTAGTTAAATAGCACAAGCCTAAATTGTTGAATTCACTATCATAAGAAGTAATGGTGAATTTAAAAGGAGATCAGATAAATTCATCTCTAGGATCAGAGGCAATACGTTGTATATCAGTTGCTGAAGAACATTAAGACATAGGCTGAAATCCTGTGTAGTAAGTTGCAACTAGAATTAGGCTAATTGAGTCAGTGGGTCTACTCTAGTTATGACTTAACTACACTAAGCAGTAGGATTTCAGCCTTTGTGTACTTGTGTCACATCTTGCTGCTGGCTTCCCATTGACAGCTGGTTGGTTGCAGTGTGAGCAGGGTGTGTGACTTGGTAAGTCTGACACAGCAGAACTCTTCCTATATTCTTATAGTTTTAGAAAAAAGAGACTTGACGTGATGCAAGCGCTACGAATTTATGTCTAGTGTGGAGAAGAAGAGCAGACTTATTTTTCTCCTCTTACCTAATACTAGAACCTGTACCGCCCAATTAAATTGACTGGCATGAGAAAAGGAAGTTCTACAAATGGTGCATAGTTGCATTCTGGAATTTACCACTCAAGGTGATTGCAATCAATGTCATACTAGCTGCATGATTTCAGAAAGAAGCTGGGTTTTTCACGTACAGTATATGCCTATCAAGTTAGGTATATCAAAGCCTGGTGATAACACAGTGTCAAGAGTGCTCTTCCTTTCCTCTGTTGGCTTGCTTAGATGGGTGATGGTCCAGAGAAGATACTAGCCTGGATCCAGCCCCTCTGACCAAGTGGGGATCTTTTTAATGAACTTATTAAAACCTATTCAGGAAAGAACTCTGTATGTATGGCTCATTTGCAGGATAAGTACACATGTATGCCAAATAAATTATCTCTGCTTAAGTGGTTCTTATATGCAGAGAGATCAATTTATTTGATGCTAGAAATAAAGGGCAATGGAACAACAACATCTCTTCATGTGCAGCCTATGGGCTGGACCTTGGACTGATCCAACAAAGTTATGTTACTGGTCGTTATGTGAAAGTTTGCCTTAGAAATGTGCTTTTGCCTCCATCATATAGTAAAGTGGGTGAGATACATGGCTTTTGTGGAGGGAAAGAGACTTTCATGAGACTAGGAAAGAACCATATCTATCATAGGCAAAAGTGCTTGGAGGCAGTAACCAGCAATCATGACTCTCTTGAGCCATCTGCCTGTAGATGCCTAGCCTCTTGTGTCCTTCAAGTTCATGATTCACTGGGGAGTCTCATTCATTGCTAGGTGGGAAGGCCATTCTCTCTACTATCAACGGCTAAGCTCTGTGGTATAGTTGTAGCATTTACGGATGGGTTCTGTTTCACTTTACACCGGACTTTTGAGGAATCTAATGGTAAGGTTTTGAGAGTCCAAACTACACATCACGTTCATGCTTTCAAAAACACTGTATTTTAATAGGCAGCCTTTGTTTTGAATAGAAGGCAGTTGTGAGCCTTATCAGAATATGCTACAGATCTCAGAGTGGATCACTACAGCAGTTTCTTTTCGGCAATCCCTCCTGCTCCTCTTTGCCTCTGAAAATTGCCAATATCCTTCCCCTGACCCCACAGGAGTTGTGTGGGGAATTCAGACCAGCTCAAGATAAAATTGCAATCAGCACATTCCATCAAGTATAGATGCAGTGTCATGCCTAAGGTTAAGTTATCTGGGAAACAGCTACTTGTAAAACTGTTTTGACAGCTGTGGGAAGTTAAGTCATCATAAATACACATTCCTGGCAACCTGTTCTTTGTTTTCTGACCCAGTAGGCCTAGAGGGTTTCATTTAGTCCACTGAATAGTTGTTTGGAATTTGTAGGCTTCATCATACTATTCCAATTCATCCCAAACTATATGATCAACCATCACACACTATATTTGGAGATGCAATGAGTTCTGTTTGCATACACCACACATCCTTCTACTCATCCGCCCTCCCACTATCAATGATACAGAGTTATGCGTGATCCTGAGTCTTTACAGTGAACAAGAACTGAACTCTAGGTCTTACTTAATCCCTGTGATGAAAATACTGTACATTAGGATGTGGAAATCAGTTCTGTTTTAGAAATGTAAATAGTGCAGTATTTGGTTGCTGTGGGTTTTTCGGGCTTCTTGGCTGTGTTCTGAAGGTGGTTTTTCCTAACGTTTCGCCAGTCTCTGTGGCCGGCATCTTCAGAGGACTGTCCTCTGAAGATGCCGACCACAGAGACTGGTGAAACGTTAGGAAAAACCACCTTCAGAACATGGCCAAGAAGCCCAAAAAACCTACAACAACCATTAGATCCCAGCCGTGAAAGCCTTCGTGAATACAGTGCAGTATTTGTCTATGTGCTCTTCAGTTTTGCTTACTACTTTCTTTGCTTCTTCCTGCAAAACTCAATGTGAGGCCCTTCTGACAGCTTGTGTTTTATTGTGGGCATTTCCAAAAGGAGGACTCCTTTTTAGCAATCAAAAGGCACTGTGCAACTATTCCACCCTTTTAGTCTTAGTGGGTTTTCCCTGCAAGTAAGAAGATAGAAGGTGAAGAAGAAAGGAGGTTTATAAGCTGAAGGTGAGGTCATAAAATTCAGTGAATGGCAGGGCAAAGCACTATCTGGAACTGCTCTAGTGACCTGTTCCAAAACAGTATTTTCTATAGGGGATCAGTCTGAATTTGTGATATGGTCCTGACTTCTTGTGAATTACAAAGAGGGGGAAGAAAACGTATGTAAGTTGCCATCCTTAAATCTCCATTCCTCATCCCATGGTCCTCTGTTTGCTCCAATGCCCATTTTTGCTTAGCTGGCCTGTTTAGCTCAATTGCTAACATAGTGCTGTGGCACTATAGCGGCATAGTGGAGGGCAGAAGACAGATATGAATTTAAGCTACTTGTAATAGGATGATTTATAATAGATAAACAACAGAATGTCTTTCCCTTCCCCCTAATGACAGCCTTCATATTGTACTGCTGAAGGGAAGAAAACCTGCTGTAACATTTTATGTGAAAGGCTTAGGAGCCACATTCAGTTCTGCTCTATACAATGAATGACTGAACTCAGGTTTCTTTAAATCTAAGTACAGTATATGTCTCTTGACCAGAGGTTGCATTTTTAGGTTCTAATAAACAAAGCAAAATAAAAATATATTTCATGAGTCTGAAATCAGGGAATTGGCATAGATGGTAAACAAGAGCTTTCCTAGAGGACAGTGCAGTTGCAAACTCCTTGCCATCATAGCTTTTTTTGCTGAAATATGGAACTGGAAGCATGGAGGGGTGTGAGAGAGAAACATTATCCCTAAAAATATTCAAACCATTATTTAAAAGAGAGAGGGGGGGCTGGCAAGCATCCTACATTTCACAACAACAAGGCTTAGGCAAGTCTTCTGTTTGATGACACCAAAGTTAACAATTTGCAGTGTGTTCCTCTACATGATTACTTAGACTATTCCCTCTGAGTGGTTTTGTCCCAGAAAAGTGGCGAGAGGGCTGCAGGATGGCTGGGTTACGCCAGGAAACTTTCCCTGTTTTTTTCCTCTGCACTGCACGCCACTCGTGAAGAAACAGTCAGGCATGTTTCCGATCACATGAATCATGGTGAGAGAGATGGAACATAATGCCATAGTGAGAATCAGATTCGGGGTCTGATCAGATGTTTTCATTTAAAGATAATGTATTATATGACTTTATAATAACACATGCTTGAAATAGTATAAATAAAAATAGGTGGAACCAAAGCTTGCATGGTGAAAGATGCAGATTTTTTTTAATTGACAGGGATGATGGTGTATGTGGCTTATAAGTGCAGCAGCCTCTCCTATATCCACCTCACTCTTGCTGGCACTAAAGTCACATAAGCCCTGGTTACATCATCATCAGTCATTTGGGCAACACTTCCTTCCTCTCACTCCAGCTTAAATGCAATATTTACTGCTGCACGTGGGAAGGGTGGTTTACCCTCCAACAATGTATTGCCATGAGTTTTCCTTGCTGCAATGTGAAGGATGGGCATGGGAGGTTTGGACTTCTGTGGAGGATTAAGGTGCATTACCTTTACAAAGCAGGTGCTCTTCACAGATTGCTGCTAGGCATTTTTAGACTTTCTTAAGACCTTCTGGGCTCTTGGCAGAACCTCTTCTGAACACCCTGCGTTTCTCCACACAGAAAGTCTCCCGCCTACATCCGTCCAAGCCACACACCTCGTTTGGATAAACCCTTGCGCAGGTTGCTGTCCCCGTTTTAGAGACGCTGTCCCATCCTCTCCTTACACCTCCCCTCCTGCAGCCCAGGCCTTTTTGAAGATTATACCCATCCTTGCAAAAGCCTTTGGGAGGGGGTGCTGGGAGGAGGAAAGGTGTGGGCCTCGGTATGCAGGAAGAGGAAAGAAATCACCCCGATGAAATTGCAGTTGCAAAGCTGGCTTCGCTTCGCTCCCTCCCTCGGGAGTTCCGCAGCCCTCTTATTTCTAGTTTCTTCTAGTTCTTTGCTTTAAAATATATGTACTGTATACTGTATATTATTTCTCGTGCCTTTTAAGTGCCTGCCTTGATCTGAGGCATTTTCAGTTGCACCAGAGTTGCAACTTGTTGAATCGCTCCAGCGGCTAAGTTCCAACATACATTCCTCTTAGGCAGAGATTTTTCTCTACGAATTTTTACGCCAGTTACGGCCAGGCATCTCAAATAAATTATTTTTTTTTAATGGATTTTTTTTTTTTTGGTTGAGCTGGGCTCCTCTTCTCCCCCGCCCGTCTCCATCATGTGGCGAATGAAGTAATTCTGTTCCGAATTTTGATCTGCGCTGTAATTATTCTGAAGCGCCGGGACGTCTCCTCCCTTTCAATCTCTCCCTCTCCTAAATTGAAGAGCCTTTCCCCCTCCCATCCGGTTAAACGGGTTTAAACGGGGGTGGCGGGGGTGGAAGAGCTCTTCCCAAACTCCTCTTGTAATTTTCCGTGTCTTGCTTCCTCACAGGCACGGCCCTCTCCGGGAGGTCACCTCTCGCCGGTGTCCGGCATCCGGGGCGAGGG